TTGTCAAATACTTTTTAAATTTATTCAATTTTCAGAGAGAGAGAGAGAAAGAGAAATTGACTATGCATTATATTTTAATTTGATTTGAAAAGATAACTTGATAATATATTAACTATTAGGTTTCACGGTTAAACATTTTCCAGGGAAATCGCAAAAATTTTTCGAAATTTTTCCTATGATGTTTTTGAAAAAAAATCGTAGATATGAAATTATACATATATACACTGCAATGTATGCATAATACAACAGTTCGTGCAGTTTATAGTTTACTCACTTCTTGTGCAAGCAAAGTTCCAACTGTATCGGCATTCATTCATTTTCACACGAACACCACTACATCATTGAAGGCGAACCACCTCCCTGTTTCTGCGTGCTTTTCGCGGGCACGCTTGCGGATACGTTTACAATCGGTTCCTTTCAAACTTATCGATAACTAATGTACAACCTTGCATCGTATCTATCATATACGTGAACTTTGCAGAATTATTAACATCAATGAAGATATTTATTTTTTGTCGATATTAAAATTGTCATTAGTATTAATATATCATCGACACCTTAATCAACCATATATTAGATTTAAATAGTTTTATCTAACTAGTAGAGAGAGAGAGAGAGAGAGAGAATAAGCTGCTTTAAAGAAGACAAATTATACAAGCGCATTGTCAATGAAGAATGCATGTTGTCAGTGTGATTCCTTTTCACGTAAAATCGATTGTCTTTTCGCCCTCAATGGTAATCACTTTACCCGTCACGAAATTATTTTTTCAGTATCTTTTAATATAATCTTTCGAACTCTATTTCCTTGGCATCTCAAAAAATAGCAAGATAACATCGTCATTGATTTATACGAACTTTCTGATTTTTCTGAGCGTTTCCCTTAAACTTTGAAACCATCGGCTTCTTGTTGTCGCGCAATCATAAGCTCGCCCATAGCAAGGTGGAACTTACCGTACGAAGGAATGATACGTCGTCCTGCTCGGAGCCACCCTCGCTATCGGCCATCCCTTCGGCGCGCTTCCACGCGACGAGTCTTCTCTGTCTGTCTCACTTCTACGCGTTCGTACGTGCGTACGCGTACGCGAGTGTGCGCTCGTAACTCGCGTGTTCACTCGGTGTCCAAGGCACCCTTATCAATGTTAAAGGGGTCGGTCATGCACGGTCTCGCATGGTCGGCATGTTCCTGTCACTACACACTACCGGAACTCTTGACTTCTTTGTCTCGCCGACGAAGACGATGATGACCACGACGACAATGATGTGATGTCGCACTTAAACTGTCGTGGAACACCGACAATCACCCACTGCTGGTCGGAGGGCACCCAGACCGCTCGCCGACGTTCCTCGCGCACGCGCCCAACACCTTTAATCAAATTCCGCATGCTCGAGATTCCGTTAACGCAAAATCCCCCCTTTACGCGACTGTATTACACGGTATTACACGATTTTCGCGTTGTGTAGCTGTCTATCTTATCGTGAATTATTGTTGGAATATAACTTTATTTTTTTAGAAGAATGAATCTGGATAACGATGCGACAGACAGGAAAGTTTATGGATTTTAAGGATGAAAACATTACTAACGTATCGTGCAATAATAAATCAAATTTATCGAGCATGTAGATTGAAATGGTCTTCTCAATATCTTTCTTAAGGAGAGATTTACATAGTTTATTATTTTATTTTTAATTTAAGAAAATCTGAAGAGAAAAATATATATTTCTGGACTTTATATTATTTAGATTCGTTAAATTTGGAGGAGGAAGATATATAGTGTTTATGCGTTTCTAAATTACCTCTATTAATTTTCAAGCATGTTAATTAAAATTTTAAGTTACAAAATTAAGAAGTATTTTGGAGTATGAGGTTTCTCTCTCGGAAAGTATAGCAAAAGTGTCCCACAATTCGTGACTAATTCAATCCATTAATACTACAAGTAAGAGAAATACAAATTGACCAACTTGATATTCTTGCTTCAATCTGTGTGAGATGGACGAAGAAATACCACTATCGATCCAAACTTATCAATATTATTACATTGAGCGCAAGCGATGTATAGAATATGAAGCGTTATGACACAAAGCTAAATCACACTTAACACAAAGCTGAGCTAATACAGCTACCATCTTAAATCTATACTTTAACATGAATAAATAGCAACAAATAAATAGCATTTATTTAATATGCGTTATTGCAATGATAGTGCAATTTAAACAACACGACAAGAAAAGCAAAAGGAAATTATAATATATTTCACAATATCTCATATTTTACGTATTGAGAGTGCATGAAATTTGTTGAAATCTTTTTTGTAGATGTACAATAGAATTATAATTTGACAACGACATTGCAATTTATCGACACAGAAATAAGCCCGGTTGATTTTACCTTCTCTGAGAATCTATTTCCAGCAACGCGACAGAAATAGATGTATCCGCGATGATTTACCGAAATATCCTTCATATGCTTATCAAGACTAAACTCGCAATTACCGCGTTTAATGCGTTAATCGAAGGTTAAGGATATCTATCCTCGAAAAGCATGATCTATTTTCGCAAAAAAATGTTCAAATAAATATTCACTTGTAGGAATATATTATTTACAACGTGTTCGATAAAATTGTTTCTTGATGAATTAAATAAAAACTGCATAGAAAGTCGATAAAATCATATATACATATTCTATAAATATTTCTTGTATCTTTATCCTTTGTCGTGATATTGAACGTATTATATCATGGTTGATGATTCACTGTTACTTCTACAAATATTATTTAGTCATGATATATCAATGTATCGAAATAAAATATTATAATAATGACAAAATTATAATTTTTAAAAATATTTATGCAAAAATGAAACGTTTTATATTAGAGATACATTGTTATTTTTACAAACACTAGAACACATTACATTTATTTCCTTCTACTATGTAATATAATTTGAGATAAAATCTATATATAATTGCTCACTACTCATTGCTACTCACGTTTCCCGATACTTGTCGCGATCGCGTTTAGAAAAGGAATTCGATGAAGTGTCTCGCATTACTATTGACAATATTTTCCTGCTCGAGTGTCGTAGATATAAGAATGGATTATTTAGCCATAATATCATAAATGTGCATCAAGATTAAATAATTTAAATAAATAAAATAATTTTGATTTTAGAATTTTTATGGAATAATAAAGATCAATAAGTAGCAGTAAGTGTAATTTATCGGTCGAAATAATTCAATTTTATAAATTGATTTTAAATAAGCAAATTCTAATGACACCTGGAATATTAAAATGTCATTTCCTTCATTTTTACGATGGTTTTTTATCGTCTGGCAAAGCTATTCCAGAAAGCATAAGATATTGCATAAGAATACAAAACCGACTTTCTAATTTTAGGATAAGAAAAGTACACGGTTGTCTATTGGATTGAAAACTGCGTGAAGACATTTAATTCAAAATGTGAGATGTATTATGCTTTTTCAACAATTAATTGTATTCATTTAATTAAGCTTGTCTCTAAAATTTATGATGATGTAGCGTGTATTAAAGCTATACTATCATATATAGTATTTTTCGAATAGCAGTATACATGATTTATATCCATGACGATATCCCCAGCGAGTTACTTCACAAAATTAGCTAATTAATTAAAAAAAAAAGTGGAAAATTATATATTACGCGAGAAAAAAAAACAATCTTGCATCACGCGTTATTCAAAGCACACACGCACATATACTCACAGACACACACATATATCACGGACGATACGCGGATATCATTTTCGAGACCGTAATCCAGAGGCGCATGTCCGAGAAAAAAAAAGAGATTAATCACGACGTTTACCCTGAGAAGACTCACCTCAAAGTAACACTTCACTTTGTCACTTCTCTTAATTCGCGTGCTCGTCTCACAATCTCGCGGAAGAATTTGCACCCCCGTACAACGGTATAATAGATCGTGCGTATGATCGGTCGTTCGCGTTCGGTCGAGGGCCTCTTTAAGGTTCCGAGCTTCCTGTTTTCCTGACCACAGGAGATCGGACCCCTGCGACGAAACTTTCTCGAAGCTCGAAGAGCTATGTTGAGCCGAGCGGAGCGAGAGCGAGCGGTTCTCCGGCGGTTATTTTCAGCCTCGAGCCAAGCGAGCTGCGCGCTTTGCGTCGTACTTGAAAGAAACCGCGACAGCGATGTCGAAGTCACCTGAATCGATTGTCAGTGACTGTAATAAATAAATAATGAATTTTAAAACATCTACCGAAAAATGTCTTTTTGAATATAGAATTTATATTATCTAAAATTAATATCATATATTTATTTCTTGAGCGACTTGTTGTATATTTGTATCTCAAGTCTCAAGAAACTTTCAAAAATTAGCTTGGATGCTGACATAAGATTCTCAATGATCGCAAATTTGCGAAAATTGGTTAATATCGTATTAACCATCATTCTGTCATGAATTTATATTGGTAATTTTGGTAAATTCGCAATATCAGCAATGGCTTTCAAATTTAATTATGCTATTTTAATTTAACACGATTTGTTTATAGATTTGTCCAAATTATCAATAATTAATAGATTATTAATTCGAGATATTGTGACAAACAATTTATTTGCGATAGAATGTTAATAAATTGTTTAACAATAGCGGCTTCATAACATTCTCAAATTACAGCAAATGACTATTATAATCTTGTGGCCCGTCTTTGTTGCCACCAAACCTTGCCAAGATTTTCAACATAAAACAGAATAAATTCTTCAAGAAATAAATAAACCATTCTCTATATTTATCGTTAGTACTATCTCTCTTTATCAACGCAATAATTATTGACTGATTTAAATTTGCATATCTCATTGTAATCATGATAGACAGTATACTATAATTAATAGATATAATTGGTAGACGATTAATGAACAATTTATAACTACAAGTTTTTAATAGTATTTATTTGAATTTGGCGCCATATATCAGTTTATTGAATGCGCAGAAGTTGACGTGCTTGACAGTAGTAAGGAGCAGCTGATCACAGCTGACGCGAGTATCGTTCGTGTACTTATTCATTTATTTTCGCTCTGTTAGGTTAACGTTTCTATAAGTCACAAAGTAATGTTGGGAAAAATAAAAACAAAGCAGGAGAAAAGTGGCGGTAAGTAAGAAAATTATTTTAAAAATAAATGTGTGTGTAAATGGCAAACGATAGAAAGTTAGAAAATCTTATAGACTCTCCTGAGAGGTTATGTTCATTATTTATTTGCTATTTAGAAATATCGCAGTGAATAAAAATTAATAAATTGTGTTTGAATCAATTATTTAATAACAATTGATGAGCAATACATGAATTATAGACTAATAAGTCAAATTTCATATTGCCAATCAAATCCATGTTCTACATAATATGAAATATTAGCTATAACAAATTTTAATTGCGATTGCAGAGATTGTTGCATATAGTGAGGCAGCAGTTGTAAACAATGCTGCGGTTGTAGAATATTGTAAAATATCAATGGCAGCTTTGTCTGGTGGTACAGCTGGCTTACTAGGATTGACCGGGTTATATGGATTTGGATTTTATATCTTTGCAGTTTTCGGGCTATGGGTAAGATTATCTTAATAGCATTAACAATAATTGTATATAATATTACAAGCATCTTTTTATATAGGCAATGCTATTGATGAAAGCTGGTGGTCAGTGGAAAAAATATTTTATTAGCAGACGGCATTTATTAACGAGCGGTTTCTTTGGGGGGCTTTGTGTATCCTTTGAAGTAATATGTAAAAATAAATTTTATTTTCAGACGTTAATTTTCCTTAACAGCAATTGTTATGCAAAACTTTCTACAGACATACGTATTATTCTGGACGTATCCTTTCCTACAATAATGCAAATAATATATATTTCTATACATACATGCCTAAAATCGATATGCTATGATTTTCTTAATGATGAATCAGATTTTTATATGGGATGGTTCATGTTTACTGAGGACAACAGCGACGATTTGCAATATTTATGATAACGCAATTATAAATACATAAGTATCATAAAGTTGCATAATTAGATATAAGCCAGTCATAAGAATTGTTGTATTTTTTTCACTCAAGTATTTTGAATATTGAGCAAATAAATGATAAAACATTCATATGATGTATAAGTATGTGTATCGATATGTACATAAAATAGACTTAAATATACGATAAAACGATCACGGCTTTTATTATCCAAAATATTTAAATAATAATAATATAAATAATAATATAAAGATAGAAATATATCAATATAAAAACCAATGCAATAGAAATATGAGCATTCTTTTTTTATTGAATATATAATATATTTGCATAATAATTTATTAATCATTGTCTTAATTAATTAAGATTATCGATAACCTTACATATCTATATTTATACATGCAACACTTATGAATACATTCGCATAAATAATCAATCACTATTATTTTTAAAGCTCTTGAGTTCATTTTGAATTACGACATTAGAAGCGAGAAATTATATAAATTTTTTTCTTGCAGCGCGTATTATGTTTTAAAATGAATTAATCAAATTTTTATATGGAATTGTTTGCACATATCTTGTGGAGAAGAAAACAACGAGTAGCTCGCAGCGATTATGATAACGCAATTATACAAATACGTAATATCATATAGTTATATAATTGTACAAGTCATTCATTAAAAATCATTTTTTTATATGATAAAAAGGCGGGTATGTTTGTGTGTAATGCAAGGAAAAAATTCACATAATAATTAATCATTGTCATTGAAATCAAATGCTTAAATTATTCAGATTAAATAATATTTTTTCTTTAGATATTACTGATCGATGAATATTTTAAGCGCTTTGAGGATTATTTGCTTGCGTCTGATACAATTACTAATAATTTACTATATCTTATATTTCTATTTTACTGTACATTATTATTCTGATATATTAATATTCTTTAATATTCCAAAGTAGAAGAAGAATTCTCACACACTAGAAAAAAATACATTTTTTGTTAGTTTTGTACTTAACATGCTCACATTTTCTACTTTAATATTTAATACTTTTAATTCATTCGTCCTCTATTGCTAACGCTCGCTACAAAAACAAAAAGTCGTATATTAATATATATCATTAGATAATATTCGTATCTATAATATTCTTAATAATTATACATATATTTTAAATAGAAATACTTATATTCTCTCTAAAATATATATATGTTAAATTTTTAATACTTAATTTACGGGAAAAACTCGATTTCGGCAGTGAAAATCAATCGTATTTCATACGACGAAATAGCATCATGACTTCGTTGAGGAAGTCCAAGGGTTCAAATTTTCGTCTCGGAAGTTTGTTCGTGTGCTATTGTCTCTTGTTGATGGCCTTCGGTGGCAATTTCGAAGGGTCTTCCAATTTCCAAAGCTTCCAATCTTCGTTCCTCGTCCATCTTATCTAGTTCCGCTTTGCTTAAGTGATAAACTATTCCGGCCCCGTAACCGTCGCCCAGAACGTTGATCGAAGTCCTGATCCGATCACTTAAAAACGAAGCGTTTGTTTTAATTTACAGAGAATCAATAAAAATGCGTGCGTAACTTACAGCATCCAGTCGATAGCGAACAATAGAGAAACATCATTCGTAGGAAGGCCCAAAGCGGTTAGCACCAAGAGCATGGTGACCAATGCAGCGCTGGGGATGCTTGCAGCCCCGACGCTTGCCAAGGTAGCTGTAAGGCTGTAAAAAGTTGAAACAAATATTTTTTTAATTTACTAATCAGATATATTGAGATCCTTTTATTAACAATGATTTCAAATTAATTAATATTGCATATAAAACATAATAATATATAATATTATCATTAATAAAAAAATTGAATAAAAAAACTTATCTCTAACGCTACGAATTATGTATACCTGACCGTAATGACTTCAACGAATCCTAGTGAGATTCCATTCAATTGTGCGATGAATATCGCAGCCACGGCTTCGTAAAGAGCCGTGCCGTCCATATTTACGGTAGCACCGACTGCCACGACGAAACGTGTCACTCGTGTATCAATCTTATTGTTTTCTTCGAGACAACGAAAAGTTATAGGCAAAGTTGCTGCACTATAATCATAAATTCATAATATTCGAAAATGACTCGAAGTTATTCAGATCAAAAATAATGATAAGATTAAAGATAAAATTTAAGCGATTTTTTTAAATCTAAGTGAAGCTGTCTTAAAATCAGTACGAACCATTTGACACAAATACTCATAGTACATACAGGACTGTAAATCTATATTTATATTATTCAGTTATGCGCTAAATTTTTATATCTAATACAAAAATAACATAACAAAATAACATGTAGATATGAATGCATGTCATGTCATGATATTTGAATTAATTCTAAAATCATATTTGAAGAAACTTTCGAACCAATCTTAAGATAATAGTAAAGAATTAAATCTGATTTTCTAAACATTTCTTGAAAGTATTAATATTATATATAATATGCCTGTGAAACAAATCTACTATTACCTCGAAGCTGTACCCAGCGCAGTCACCCAGGCTTGCATCATGCCTCTAAAGAACACAGCTGGATTTTTTCGAGTTATAAACCAGTAGATTGTCGGCAATGTGATGATCGCGTGGATCATCAAGCCCAATATAACTGTCACCATATATAGACCTAACATTTGAGCAGTTGCCGCCAGATTTGCAATAGACATAATTTTTCCAGCTATCAGACACATAATTCCGAACGGAGAATACCTGCAGCGATTGTCAATTATATTGTTCAACGGAAAATAATTAAAAGTCGTAAGCTACTCTAAATAAAAAAAGCAGATACAAAATTAACTTTTATATTTTTGTCATTAATTTATATATTTTTTTCTTTTTCTCTACTTTCTTAAAAAAAAAAAAAAATATA